CCGCAGAGCTGTAGTGACATGCAGGGGTGCAAGCATTCTATATATTGTAGGGTTTGGTGAAACTTTTCCACTAACATTCCTCCCCCCCCCCCCCCATGGAAAGACGGGGTTTTTGAACTTTTTCATGGAAGAAGTCTGCTTTCTTAGATTTTTTTTTTTTAAGCTGACAACTCGAAACCCAAACATTTTTCAGTTTTCAGCCAAAAATTGTTGGCTTTCAAGCAGACCATTAGCATGCGTTTGGCTTGTCTGTTCTTTTTACAAAAAGTCTCAATTTTCTGCTGGAATAAAACCCCATTTTCTGACCAGCTGTAGTGCTGCATCTGCTGGTCCTATCCTCCTAAAGTCAGCAGACCCACCCCAGCTCTGCAGTAAGTAGGGGTCAGGGTGCTGCATGGGTGCATGCAGCACCCTGATGAGATTTCGGATATTGCCTCATTCTCTCATTAACACTGTGCAACCATCCCACCCTCCCTAACATTCCATCTCAGAAAAGGCGTGTGAGGGAAGATTTTTAGGGCTGTCATTTTCTACATATTTGTACAGTGCCTAATGCAAGAAGATGTTTACCTGTTAACCTCTAGGCACTACCACAATATAAACATTTAATAACTTTTGGATTTGTATTAACTCTCTTCCTCAGGATTGTGTTTTTGTTCTGAATTTGTACCACGCTTAGCAGAGTGGGGTCACGGTCCATGTCTGGGACTCCTAGGTGCTATGATAATATAATAATAATGAGAAATAATTCTGCAACCAAAACAGCTACCGACTGCCTAGCCTGGATTGACTAAACTGTTTATGTGAAGCCGATGGAAATGAATCAGGTCAACCACTTAATTATAATGTTGTATGTAATCTAATTATGTAGGAAAGAAAACAAAGCTCCTGCATGTGAACAAAAGCAATGAGCGCACTCTGGTGGTGTATGTATGCACATTTAAAATGTTTATTAAAGTTAATGTTTAAAATTAAATATACACAAGTTAAGAGGGAAGGTACTGTACATCTGGGGTGCGGCTTGAGTTATGAGGGATTACAGGTATCAGTTACAAGGATCACGAGAGACATACATATCACATAACCAGCATAGACCCAGATTGGGGTGCGGGAGTTTTTAGAACGGCAGTGGATAAGTGGGCTCGGGTAAGCCACCCATGGAATGTATTAAGAGTCCAACTCAGTATCGGTGTCGCGAATAAGTACATGGGTGGGGTGTGTCCCTTGGTTTGTCAGGGAAGGAAGTGGGTTATTTCCCTGGTCGGCGGTCTCCATTACTCAATGTGGTATTGACGGTGTCCTGTGATGTGTTCTGTATAAATGTCTCTGGACTACCTGATGGTGTCGGACACCATGAGCTGTCTCATGAGCCGGACGTAGCGTCGCTCGACTCCACACGCTCTCATATATATATATATATCTCTTCCAAAACTAGTCTCAGCCAGAGATTATGCGGACAAAGTCTCCATTGGGGGCAGCATTAGTACAGGATGGTTGTGGGTAAATTCCACCAGGTAAATGTGTATGAAAGAACTGCTGAACAAGGGTTCTAAGCTCCCTGGCACTGAATGGGAAGAGCAGGCACTAAGAATCCAGCAGGATTCAGCTCATAACTTCTGCATTATTTGTCCACGTAATCTTTACTCATTTCTCAAAGTGGCGACCCCACTCCAGGGTTGAAAGATCATGCATTTTAATGATGGAGGTAAAAATACTCAGGTTTCCAGTTGCTAGCTAAATGTACTTGGAAACACATTCAGATTCAAACACATCTATTATAAGCCCACTAGCTAATCAGGCATGTTACTAATAATGCATTAAATGTGGGAATTTGAAAAGTGCCTGCATGATTTAGGAGCACAAGTCCCATTGAAAAATGTATTGAAGTTGGATTTTCAAGATCAGTGCTGTTTGTTACCTTTTGCAGCTCCCTCATCTTGGATAGTGGAACTAGGTTAGTCTATTTCACTTTTGCTTCTGGTCAGTTTCACTGTCAGGTTCTCATGAATTAGCACAAGGCTGCAATATTCAGGTGGCAGATTCTTGCCAAGAGAACTATTTGAATACAAACAAAAAGCTGTTTTCATTGATGTTTTATAATAGACTGAAAATATTTCTGTTCATATTAGGTTTCCAATGAAAACAATCAAAATGCTAGGCCTAGAATACCTTAGAGTGTCTCTTTAACAGAGTCCCATGTGCAAACCAGAGGGCTCATTTTTATCAGTCATAGAACCAAGTTCCCTGTATAAAAATATACTGTGGTATTTTAGTTATGGCCTCAAAATACAGTAGTTGACAACAGTGTGTCCTGTAGAATTCTGTAGGATTTTAAATTGCTAGGTGTCACCTTTACCAGTACTTTTTGTCCACATTATAGTCTTAAACCCATAAACATATATGCACCAATCCTGCACTATCAAGGAGGGCTTGGTGACTGCTGCACCTAGTGAAGATAATGTGTTTCCACACAGGTGTTCTGTTGTGCACAGTTGGGGCCTTATGTTTAGGAACAGAGCACGCTATTGCGAGAAATCCCATTGAAGCTAATGGGACATTTGACAGCAGTAAGGGTAGGGAGTATTTGCAGGATAATCCTCTGAGGTTGAGCCATGCAGGCCACAGCAGGGTTTAAATGCAATTGTTAGAGTGCGGTTTCCTTGACCAGTGTAGAGTTTGTTTTTCCCTAGGGAATCCAGTGGTTAAATAAATGTCCCCTTTGTCTCTTATAGCTCCATTTGTCTAGTACAGTTCTGGGGAAAAAAATCTCTTTCCATACTGGCAAGGGAAACTATACAAGGACTCCACTAGCAAGAGCCACTAAGAAAATTCTAGCCATATTATGCAAGGGGCCAAAAGTAGAAAGCTTTCTGGACATATTGACCCGGATTTCTCTTCTGCCTTTTTACCAGTGGTATATAGGTCACTTAAATTAATGGAGTCATATAGTTAGAAGGTACTGGAGAATCAGACCCAAATATTTGGGGCCATATCCCCATCTGGTATAAATAAATGTAGCTCCATTCAAGTTAATGGATGAGATCTGGACTTTTATTAATTATTCTTATTCTTATTATTGGAGCTGGTTGAAAATTTTCTAGTGAAACTTTTTTTCCCCCTGACAGAAGATGTCTTTTTGACCAAAATGAACAATTTTGCAAAAAAAATTTTTTTTTCATTTTATTTGATTTTTTTTTTTTTAAAAAATTATGAATAGATATTTTTCAATTTTTTGGGAAAAAAATTTCATTGGAGGGGAAAAAAAAAAAACTCTCCACTCTTTATCCCCTTTTTACTTCAAAATATTTTGTTGAAAAAAAAATGAAACCATTCACAGAAAAGTTTGAATGAAACCATTTTTCAGTCAGCTGTAGTTATTATTAGAGTTTCTGGTTTCAGGAAAAAAAAAAAAAACCAATGAACCAGAAAATTACAGAATAAGGTTCTATAAAATATACACAGCTGAAATATACAACGTTTGCAGGATTGAGTTCTATGTGTGGAAGCGATTGAGAAACCCTAAAGATCCATTAATTCATTGTGGGGTACAACCCCAGAATGTAGAGCCTTTTGGGGAGCTTTTAAAAACAACATTGAATCAAGGAAAACAATTGTTCAAACCACTAATGAAACAGGATTTTTACTCCTAAAAATGTAGCTAGTGTTTGCCTAAAAATAACCATCAGACATCAGAAAAAGAAATAGAATTAACATTGCAAACCAGAATGTCTATTTACACTTTATGAACCAGAGCTTCAGCTGGTGTACATCACTGGAGCTCTACTGAAATCATTGGAATTATGACAATTGACACCAGCTGAGGATCTTGCTCAGGACTTTGTAATGTATTTCATGTCTTAATTCTACTCTACAAAATGAAATATCTGCTCCTTTCAGATAGATGAGCTGTGAAATAAGCATGATTTCCCTGTTGATACTCTGTGAAATTTGTTACATTTTCTATACTTTGGTTTTTAAATGAAATTGAACAATACACACACAGAAAAATAAAATCCTCAAAATTCACACCTGAGTTATACAAACTGTCCTCCCAGGAATGGAAGAACATACCACAAAGAATGGGAAAGCTATTTACATGTTAATAATTCAGCAAAAATGCTCAGCACGTACACACACAGATACAAACTTAGGCAGGTCTTGTTGTTTGGACGCTGATGAAGCCCAATGGATAAATAAGAGGGAAGCAAAATAAACACGAGGCGAAATCCTGGGGCAAAACTCCTGTTGGCTTCAAAGGAGCCAGAATTTCACCCATGATGTCTAAGAGTGACAGCAGTGGGGCGAGGATTGGAGCTGAGCAATGACCGGAGCAGTGTCTTTACAAATAAGGTGCATTTTTTTTTAAAAGGAAAACAAAAAGGTAAAGAGGCACCTGGCTCTAAACATTTAAAGAATGCAAGAAAAGAGCTTTAGGAAAGGGGCAAACCATTGCGTAGGTTGAGTAGGGAATAAAGCACAATGACATTAACCTGGGAAGTCGATAGGATACCAAAGCTCACATCTAGATGCAGGCCTTTGGTGAAATGACCGTGGTAACCTGGGTTCAGTTCAGGGGTTTCTGGGATGTGGGTGCGGACGGAGGGGTGTGGGGTCAGATACGGCACTGCAGACCCTTCTCATGGGAAGCTCTGAAATGAACTAGGAGAAGGAGGAGTGAGATATGGAAATCCATCCAGATTAGCTAGTCCCAGACAATACAGAGCATCGCGGAGATCCGCACGCATTGGACAGTGTTTGGTGCTGCTATGGCTAAGTGAGGGATTGTTTTGGTTAACACCTAGAAGGGTGTTAAATTTCACTGCTGGAGTTGAGAATCTCCTGGGAGGCTCAGTTACAGCTTGAGTCTCTAAACAGTTCAGCTGTGCTGGGCTCCCATAAGCAAGACCTTCCTTCTGCTGCACTTTGAAGGCACCGTCGCTCCAAACTTTGGTCCATGGCTAGAAGTCAGGGCTCCCTTTGTGCATGATGGAGCAATAGCCTCAGTGGAGGTAAGTGGGTTGATTCCATCGGTACCAAGTTCTGAAAAACAAAGGAAACAACAAACACAAATGCACCGTTATTTTCCTTTCCCCTGAAACGGGAGCCCATCATTATTTCATCTGTAGCTCTACTTAGCCAGCAACCGATCCTCTAAACCCAACAGGGGATTCACAGCAAAACTCAGGGTGGGTTGCACTATAACCAAGCCAGTCTTCTCTGAATGGCCAAGAAGCATCCGCCATGCTCAGATTTCATGCACGCGGAGTCACAGGGGCAACGTAAGACCAGATCCTGCCTCGTCGCAGGTGTACAGGATCAGAACAAGTTCCTCCATGATTCAGGAGGTACAGCAGCTGCTGCAACACCCAACACGCTCTGGGTTTGCTTTCTGCTAACTTGTCGCCGCTATCATGAGCAATGCTGGTTGGGAGCAGGAGCAGCAGTGACCCGGGGAGGAGAGGGACACCAGCAGCAGCACTGAACTTAGTAGCGGGGCATGTGATGAGAAACAGCTAGAAGGGCTTCGCCCCAAAGCATGGGGAATCTGCTGGGGACAGAACAGACAAAGAAAATGTATCCCCAGGGCTTTAACTGTGGGTGGACACAGCGGGTCAGTCCCCGGGAGGGCAGCTTGGATGCGGAGGAGAGGGTCTAAGTAGGAGCAACAGCAAAATAAATCTTCTCCTCTTCCTCTCTCCTTTCCCCCACTGTGCCTACCACATACAGGAGGAAAGCATCACAGCCCCCTCTACCTGGTCACATGCTGAATTTTTGCTGGCAGGAGATTTCAAAGAAATGTGGCCTTTTCTATAAAAGTCTGGAAGCAGAAAACAGCCATTCCCCATGGACTCTCAGAGTGAGCATGAAACCACCACAATGGAATGAACCCATCTAACTTGGTTTTTCTAAAGCCCATCACTACAGTATGCAGCGAGCCCTGAATGTTCTTCTCGAGGGTCCTGTTTGCTCCCCCACGCCCTGGGCATTAGTGCCAGGTGCTCCCCATCGACTTACCCAGAAGGATTGAAGTTGGACGAGTTCATTGTGGCTTTGGAGTTGCTCTGGGATGCGCTGGGGCTGCTGGCATGGAGCCCTGTACTGGGGGATGAGGGCCTGCTGGTGTTCCCAGGGGAACACGACGATGTTACTGCACGAGAAGAGAGACAAGAATGAGGCTCACCTCTTCTTTCCTACTGGGGAGCAGGCGCATCTGTCCCACTGCTCTCCTTATTCCTTGGCTTGCTGCAATAGCGAATGCATGTTAACCGTGCCCTGGTCTGACAAGCTAGACACCCCTACACAAGAGGTCAGGGGGCATCCTCCCTGCAGCAAAGCACAGCGATTGGAGCACATGGTTCCTCCAGTGTGAGATCTGCCAGGTCTCTGCTGAAGAGACGCCAGAATCTCCCTCCAAGGACACACCCCGTGGAGCATGTTCCCAGCCCCAAACCCTCTGCCAGAACTTGAAGGCAGCGGCAAGGTGGGTGGGAGGGAGGCAGTTGCTTTTGGGGATAGAATGGAAGGAAGAGAGCAGAAAGAAGGGGGAGAGCTTGGGTGAGAGCAGGTGAAGGAGTTTAAAAAGATAAATAAATCCCAAGCTGGGGAGTTGAGTCTTGTTCCAAAGCCCTTCACATTAGCACAGAGAGACCTGAGCCCCTATTATAATTATCATCATCATGCCTAGGACCCCTAGTCACGGAACAGGACCGCTCTGCGCTAGGCGCTGCACAGACACAGAACAGACACACAGTCCCTGCTCCAAAGAGCTGACAATCTAAGAATCAGACGAGAAATAGATCGATCCGGAGCCAGCTCCTCTCAAAGTTCAGGAGTGTTTGGATCCAGGGTTTTGCTCTGGTCTCTTCCATCCCTAGATATCAGCGTTTGCCTTTGAGACGACAGGAAACATTCCACCCCCGGGGGAATTTCCTCTACTTGGCCAGAGTGAAGATGCGGATTCTACCACCTGCACCCCTCGCTGCTAAACTGGTCATGTCAGGCAGCTAATTACAGTCAGTCCAGGAGCCCATCTAGGATGGGCTGCAAATGTCAAAATGCAAGCAGCCTTTGGATCAAATATAAGGTCTAAGTACTGATCGGCGGCAGAGCAAGAGGGAATTTGCTACCAGTGAAGGAAAGGAGAGAGCAGGGCCGGCTCCAGGCACCAGCCCAGCAAGCAGGTGCTTGGGGCGGCCAACGGAGAGGGGCGGCATGTCCCGCTCTTCTGCGGCAATTCGGCGGCGGTAGAGCAGATCGCGATCGCGGCTTTTTTTTTCTCCCCCCTCCACTTTTTTTCTTTTTGCTGCTTGGGGCGGCAAAAATCCTGGAGCCGGCCCTGGGAGAGAGGCATCAATCCTTGAGCCAGGCTTACCTGTCCCAGGCATGGTGCCGTGGATCGGATTGACTGAGAGGGGGCCCAGGGAGCCTGAGGTAGAGACCTGGAAGGGAACCGAAGCCAGCAGTGAATTAGTGACACACAGTTATTAATAAGAACATAGATCCCGGAGTGCCATTCCCTTAGTAGTACACACCATCACGGACTCACCTCCCATTCCCACAGGAATCCCTTAGTCTACTGTGCACACACCCACACAGATGTCTTATCCAGATACACTTCAGATTTCCACATTAGTATTGCGAGAGAGGCGCACCATTCCCCCTGGGCAGCATACTGGACTGTGCACGTGTAGACGCCAATCCCTTCGTCCCAAACACACACAAACACGGGCTCACTCCAGGGCTGGGGCTCTCAAGCTTTTTCACAGTGCGGAGCCGATCTCGGAAGAGAGGTTGTCTGATGGACATCTCCTCTCCCATTAGCCGTCCCGCGGGGTGGCTCCCCACTCACACAATGTTGCGGTGGTACTAGAACGGTGGCTTGCATGGACACGTTATGTTTGGAAAACATTTACGTATTTTAAGTCGCCTTTCCCGTGATAGATGTTCTGGTCTTTTCCAAAAGGCTACGAGCTCCGGGCCTGAGTCTCCGTCATTTACATTGGTGTAACACCGGTGTTATTCACAGCGACATGGCTCCGTTGGCTTCCCTGGAGTTACCCCGGAGTCACACCCGCATAAGTGAGAAGAGAAGCAGGCCCACAGTCCCCTCTGCTCTTTGTTTCATCCCCCCCTCCCACTGCTTCTGTTTGTCTCAGCTGGAAACCAGGAAGAGAACCAGCACCATATAACCAGGCAGCTCGCTATAGATCTCCAGCAAGATCTTGGGACCCTTCGCCAACCACAGTTTGGGAACCTCTAATCTCAGGGAAAGACAGGCAGAGGGCAGCCTCCTTCACCAAAGGATGACAAGAAACCCCTATCTACTAAGCCGCTGCGTTCCGCAGAATCTACACACACTGCCCCTGTTCTAGGATTCCCACTCCCAGCCATAACAAATCAGACCGGGGGGGGGGGGGGCATCTATACTGTCTCCAATAGTGGCCAGCACCAGATGCCTTTGAGAAAGGTGCAAGAAACCCTGCAGTTATGGGATAATCTGTCCAGGAATTCCCCCCCCCCAATCCCTAATATTTAAAAATTGGCTTATGCTCTGAAGCATGAGGGTGTTATAAGCTTTGGAATTGGGCGGTTTGCTTGTTTATTTTCAAACAAAAACCAACGTGCACAAGTTTTTGAAAACACTTGTGTGGGTTTTTTCTGGGGGGGGGGGGAGGGCATTCTCTGACTGGCTCCACAGCTCAGTGGAGAATTTTTTCATCAAAAATATCTTCCAATGAAAAACATTTTCAGGTAAAAATTGCCAACATTTTTTCATGGTTTTTTACCAGCTTTGCTCCCCGCCTCTGACTGGCAAAGCTAGTCCCATTTTTCTGTTTGGGCAAAATTCACCCCAGTGCCGAGGGACTAGAAGCACTGCTGAGGATCTCAACATGGGGCTTAAGTCTGTCTACACTACAGTTAGGCTGACAAAAGGCAGCTTACGTCAACCTAACTAAGGAAGTGTCTACACTAAAATTTCGCTCCCACCTACATAACTTGCCCGCTACATCAACTTTATAACTTCACCTCCACGAGAGGCAAAGAGTCGATGTAGTTAGGTCAATGCAGTGTCAATGTAGATGCTGCATTGCTTACATTGACTGTTGCTGGCTTTCAGAAGCCACCCCACAATGCCCCAAATTGACAATTCAATCGGTGCAAGCACTCCAGGTGAAGATGCGCGCTGCTGACACAAGGAGCAAAGTGGGGACACACACAAGTGATGTAATTACTGCGGCAATTGTATGCAGACGTAAGTTAGAGCAACTACATTTTGGAGACGTGCCCTTATTTTCAAATTCTGTTAATTATCTGTGAAGAGACTTGGAGGTTTACAAACCTAGACCAAGATTTTCAAAAGCACTGAGCACATCCTTTGAAAATCAGGGCCCTTCCAGGTGTCTCAAGTTGGACGCAAAATCAGAGGCATCTTTAATCATTAGTCACTTTTGAAAATCGTGGCCTCTTTCTTAATGACTTCACTGAATTTTTTTCTTTTCAGGGGGCTGAGTTTTATTGCCTGGTCTGGGGCTAGCTGCCAATTAAGATTTTTGTGGCTGTAATTAGTTTCCAGGAGGGAGGGGCGATCTACGTCTGTTGTTTTTATTTGTATAAATTTAATCAAACAAATATAACAAATTGTTTGGCATGATCAGTGAATAGCTCATGTGATCACACTTCAGCCAACAAGTTCATGGCAAATCTACTCACAAAAACTATTGCTTTGAATATTTATTGCTTGCAAGTAGCTTGTCCTGCTGTGCAACTGATGGCCAAAAGTCACATGGTATTTTGCTGCTCCCTGACTGGATGACTCCCAAACCCACTGAGATTTCAAGATGAGACTGTCCCTTGTGACTACATAATGACCGCCCTGCCCCCATATGAATCCCCAGCAACCTTCAGCACCCCAGAACAGACTCCTGCCACTTGAGCTCAGCTCATTAACTGGCAGCAGTATTTGGCTGTTATCCACAACACCCACTCACCAGCAGATTACAAATACACTATTGAACGAATATTTGTGATGCTCTCTCTTTACACGATCGCCCTTTCCAACAAAAATTCACACATGAAAACATTCATGGACAGTGAATAAAAGAGGCCACTGATACCGTCAAAGCTAAGGCACTGAATGAGTGCAGACACTTCTGCAGAAGGATTCACCTGATACTGTAGCCAGGCCTATTAGACGGTCAACAAGCTACAGACCTGCCTTAATAGGAAACCTCTGTGTGCCAAGTCAAAGCCCGCAGCTACTGAGGTGGGCAAAGAAACAGGGAGTGTCTTTTATATGCAGTGCCTCCCATACTGGAGAGCAGCTCGTGCTCTGTAGCGAGGCTACATAGGATTGTGCCACCTCCCCCTGGCACTGCCATGCACTCCGAAAAGCAGAGAGCCCTGTCTGCACGTCAGGCTGGGAGAGGTTATAATGCTGCACTGCCAGGCTTGGCGAGGGGCGAAAGAAGCTGCAGCAATGGATGCCGCCTTCTGGTCTCAGATGCCCTGGCCCAGCAGCGCACTTACATACATGCTCAAGTGCCACTGAAGTTAAGCACATGCTTAAATGCTTTGCTGAACTGGGGCCAAAGGGGAGAAACATCACTCTAACCTGGGTCGTCATTTGTGGCTGAAGGCTTCACTTCCTGATTGGATGAGAACAAGTCCTGGAGCAGCTGTGTTAACTAACATGATGCTGAACACGACTTCGTGGGCAGTGTCACGTAGGCAGGGACTAGCTTTGTTTAACATCCTGTGAGCCGGTCATGGTTAGCCCTATGTTTCCTAGCTGGGTTTACCCAGTACCAGCGGGCGCCTTGAACTGGACTTGGCTGTTTAAATTGACTGCAAAGTCACATTTAACATCATGTTAGTTAGCACGACTTCCTCAGGGCCATGCTCTAACACATCCTCATTTTCTAATCCCTTGTGTCTTGCTTCTAGGTGGCCCCTTCCATTCTCCCAACCCTATAAATTCTCCAGCCGCCACCACCTAATCCCATGGCAGGAGGGGAAAAGGGATAGACTGGTGGACTTGTACGCCACCCACTGTTCCAGAGCAATTCAGTGTTTCTTCTCCAATGTCCATTGAGATGTAAACCATCATCAGTAGGCTTCAGAGTTAACAGCCCACTGAGATGAATGGAGGCAGTTCTCAACTCTCCGAGATATTGTTGAAAACTCAGCCTCCATTAGCATTTGAAAACTTTTCTTTGCAACTGTAAAGGCTAGAAACATAGGGCCAGATTTTTAACGGGTGTAAATCAGCCCAGCACTTTACTGATTTACACCAGCTGGTGATCTGGTCTTTATTTTAAAAAAGAGCAGAAACAATTACATTCTGCGGAGAGGGATGAGGCCATCAGACAAGTGCAGCCTGGCATGCTGAATACCAGCTCAGTCCATCCCCTGCACAGCAACATCTCCACACCTTTCCCCTGGAGGTGCTGGGGAATCAGATGGTGTTAATTCCATCAACAGTGCTCTTCCCACTGAGTCAGCAGTAACCAAAGCCCAGCTAGAGGGAACTGCACTGCAGGAAGTGAAGCTGATGATGCAGTAGATAGTGCTCCGCCCACTGAGTCAGTGCTGAGCCAATGCCCTCTAGGAGCCTCCAGGGTGCTGTTGAAAGTGCCGTATTTTTGGATGCAACTTAAAACGAAAAAAAGTCTTGCCCACTCGTTGTCAGGGTACTAGCCCCAGGAGTATTTGGATAATGGCATTCTGATTACCTAACCCTCTCGCTTTCTGTTTCATCTGTAAAGAGTTTGGGGCAAGGCACGCTTCCATGCCATACAAATGTACGAGATCATTTGTTGCTGCCTCCTTTTCCTGCAAGCCACTTGTTTCCCTAGTACCCTGCTACGCTTGCTGCCTTATGGAAAGTAACCGGTACCCCCTTGGTCCACCAGGTCTCACCAGTCTGGAGTTGTAGATGGGTGATTTTATGGGGGATGGCACTGGACAGCTGATCCGCTTCTCCTTCTGGCGCCGGTTACAGAACCAAACCCGAACCACTTCCTTTTCCATGGAGAGCTGCTCTGCTATCATGGAGATCTCCTCTGAGCTGGGCTTGGGGTTCTGGTAAGAGAGGACATTACGTGAACAAAGAAAACTCTGTAGAACTCATTTTAAAGTCTCAGTGGGCTGTATGATCACCTGCTGTTTGAGTGGCAAGAGGAGAGGAATCTGGACTTGGCTTTTAACTGGGGAGGGGAGAAGATTTGGGTTTCTCTATGGGAAAGGGTAGAGATCTGGTGGAAGGTCCACGTTTTGAGTCACACTGGTGAACGTCTAGTGGAGTCGGTGAGGATGCACAGGTGTACCCTCTATGCATATAAAGCACTGAGCCTCAGATCAGTATTTAAGGAGAAGCTGTCACGTAAGGAGAAGCTAGGAAGCATAGTCTTGCGGTGAAGGCACTGAACAGTGACTCAAAAGATCTGGGTTCTACTCTCTAGATCTCCCTCAGACTTTCTGTGTGACCTTGGGTGAGTCACTTAATCCCTCTGATCCGCATTTATAAAATGGGGATAATGAAACCTCCTTTCTTCCCTCCCCCGCAAAGGTTAAACTCTTTGGTGCAGAGATGCTCTCTATATGTTTGGACAGCACCTAGCAAAAAGGGGCTCCAATCTCAATAGGACCTCTAAATAATAAAGAAAACAACAGCTTAACACTAGGATATTGAGAAAGTTTCCCCTTTCTAAAGGAGCCCTAGAGCAGGAAACTCCATGTTGGCCAAAGTGGGCATGTTCCTGATAATTTGAGAGAGGCTGTCTATTGTTCTTTCACCAGCCCTAGGAGGATAAGTTTGATACAAACAGATTTAGGGCAGGAGGAGGGTAAAAACTGGAGCCCGTTGAAAATTTTCCATCTAAATTGTTTTTTTGGAGGAAAATGGCATTTTCAACTGAATATGTTTGTTGGCAAGAAGTGTCTGCTTTCTGCAGCAAATTCTGATCTTTCTTTGAAAATCTGAATGTTCTAAAATTGAGAAGTTTTGATTCTAAAATGTCACCATGGTGCCATATGGGCACTGCAGTTCAAGTGCCTTGTGCTCCTATCCTCCTCTATGGGCTGATCTCCCCAGCTGGAATTTCATCTCCCATGATGCACCATAAGACAGCTATACTACCATGGTGCATCATGGGAGATGCAGTCCGATAGGGAGCTCAGCCTATCAAGGAGGATGGGAGCTGAGGCACCCAAACTACAACTCCCATGATGCCCTGTGGCAGTACTTCAAAATTAAAATATTTTGATTTTTTTGCCAAAAATTCAAAATTGTCTGTGGAACAAAATACCATTTTCCAAATAGCTCTAGTAAAATCTTATTCTCTCTTTCCTGAAGCAGTTACCTAGCTGATAAATAAGAGATTTTTTAGTTTGTTGGCAATTCTAAAAAATTGAAAAAAAAAATCATCATTTTGGGTCAAACCAAAACTGAATTTTTTTGACATTTTTGACGAATCAAAGAAATCGAAACATTTCTTTCAATCTGAAATGAAACATTGCTTTTAGATGTTGAGCATCTGACATTTTGAAAATTTTTAAAGTAAAATGAAAGGAAATTTCTAAACAAAAAGTCATTTCCGATCGAAAAATTGAAAACTTGGCATTTAAAAAAAAAAAAAGTCAAAATGAAGCATTAATTTTTTTTTTTTAAACCCAAGCAATCTGCTGAAATTGACATGCATTCGTGAAATATTTTGGTGTTCCCAAACCTGCCTTTTTCACCAAGAAAAGTTTCTAAGAAAAAAAATCCTGAAAGAAAAAAGAAAATCTCTCTTAGCTTAGGCCTTGGCTACACTGGGGACTTCACAGCGCTGCCGCAGCTCTCGCAGTGCTGTATGTACTCCACCTCTCCGAGGGGAGTAGCTTGCAGCACTGCGAGCGAGCGTGCAGCGCTGTAGGCACTGATTACACTGGCGCTTTACAGCGCTGCACTCGCAGCGCTCTGGGGGGTGTTTTTTCACACCCCTGAGCGCAGCAACTTGCAGCTCTGTACAGCGCCGGTGTAGCCAAGGCCTCAAGAACTAGTAGGCATTTCGGGCTGGGAGATAGAGCTCACAACATGTGGTAAGATTTTCCCCTCACATCTTGAAATCTCTTCTCCAGCGTGGAACGAATGTTGGTCTCGATGCTGGTGCGTTTCTTTCTCTTCCGCCCGAACATCTCGCTCACCGAAGGGTAGGAATTAGGGGTACTCACGGAGGAGTCCAAAGGAGTGGATTCTGGGGAAAAAGAGGGAACAAAGGGATTCAAGATGATTTGGCAGCAGATATGTTCACGTTGTGAGGTGTTTTTTTCTGAAGCTGACCACCTGTGACAACCTGCTGTCCTTGAAACTGAAAATGCCAAGAGTTTGTCCATGCCCCTGAGGCAAAAATGACTAAAGTCTGCGAAAGGGCCATCCCAGAATCCTGAGTGTTGGCAGCAAATGTACTGAACATACGCCAGACGGTCTTAAGGACCTAGCTAGAGATCACTCCGCGTGGTGCTAGGTCCGCTTGGGGTTTGCCACAATGATCGTGAAGATTTACTCATGATTCATTGAGTTTTGCTCCTGAAAGCTGGCTGGGAACCGTTACCCCTCCCTAAACACGTAAAAGATCCTGGCTCAGAATACTGTATCGGAACCCCTCCTTCCCCAGCGGTAACACTTTTAATGTTGCCCAAAATAGCCCCAAATCCCAGCTTCGATTGAGGCTGGTCAGAAAAGGTGGAGTGAACGTTTCCCCCAAATATTGTTTTCCACCTTTTTGGCGACGTTTCCCAACCAGCCACCTTGAGCACTAAGTTTTCAACTGTCGGAAACCGGTGTCGTGCCAGTGACTTCAATGGCGCCATGCTGATTGACACCAGCTGGGGATCGGGTTGGGCGTTTCGCCTCATGTTGCTGAGACATTCCCTGTTGCAATAAAATCAGCTGAATGTGTCCAGGTCACCACTGGATGGAATGTCACAGTCGCTCAAGTAGATGTGGCTACAATGCCCCATAGTGGCTTTGCAGTCTATAAAGGATACATAACATAGGACTGCAGTGCTACAGGTAATAGGGTGTCTCTTGATAATAAATATCTAGCTGTCATAATCATGGTTCATCAGCAGATCTCAGGGCACTTTATAAAGGAGGTAAGTCTCAATATCCCCCATGTAGAGATGGGGAAACTGAGGCAGAAAGTAGCAAAGGGACTTGCCCAAGGTTACCCAGCAGAGTAGCCAGGAAAAGAACTGAAAATCTCTTGAGTCTGAGGGCTACACGCTGATCAAAAGAGCACACCACTTCGCAAGTGGCTGGAATAATGGGATGCCCTGTCTGTGTGGCTTAGCTTGCAACACCATGATAACCGGCGATAGGTTCATGACATTCAGGGCCGGCTGCAGGCACCAGCTTAGCAAGCAGGTGCTTGGGACGGCCACTCCGGAGGGGGCGGCACGTCCAGCTATTCAGCGGCAATTCGGCGGATGGTCCCTCACTCCCACTCGGAGCGAAGGACCTCCCGCCGAATTGCCGCCGCAGATCGCGATCGCGGCTTTTTTTTTTTTTTTGCCGCTTGGGGCGGCAAAAACCCTGGAGTTGGCCCTGATGACATTGTCTGTGACCTTGCCCTTCTCCCTGCAAGTGCTTGCCATTGGTGAGTGCGTGTTACAAGTCCCCCTCGGTGCCCAATTCCCAGAGGATAGGAGCCTGTGACTGCCTCAGTCTGGGAGCTTGAGCTGTAGCAGCTTGTGCTTTTTAGCTCTGGAGGTGCCTGGTTCAATCCCCACTTTGTTGGCCAAGATGGCAGCCTTCACTCAAGCACGGCGATGTGCCTTACCTGCATCGCTCAGCCACTTCTCCAGCAGGGGCTTGAGCTTGCACATGTTTTTAAAGCTCAGGTTGAGAGCCTCGAAGCGGGAGATGGTGGTCTGGCTGAAATCGTTGCCGTACAGCTTACCCATGGCCAGTCCCACGTCGCCCTGCCGGGGGAACCAGAATGAAAGGATTCGCTGAGAAAACCCACTCGCAGCTCCCCACCGTGTTTTTAATTCACTCCCAGGTCACTTCTACTGTAACAGCAAACCAGCTTACTCACCTAGTCTCTTCCACCACTAGGGATAGACTCCCAGATCCTTCCTACACCCCAGTACGCACCAAAGAGGCGGACGGTAATTGTTATGCTTGGTTTGAGGTTACAGGTAATGTATCTTCTGGAGGGGTTTGTTCATCCATTGTTCATCTGTGCTTTCAAGGTGGTGTTCCCATAAAGTGCACATCTGTACAACTCCCCTCCATGCCCACATCTGCATCAAGCCCTCCCTTCTATACCCACATCTGCACCCAACCCTGCCCCTCCTCTTCATGCCCACATCCATAACCAATCCCCCTCCCCACCTTGTGCATCTCACTATTAAACCACTCATCATCAGACTGCCTTTTGCCCCTCACCTGGGTGAACCCCAGTTTGATTCGCCTCTGCTTGAAAGTCTTAGCAAACTTCTCCAGCTCCTCCAGGTCGCTGGGTTCGTCTGATACGGCCGAAGACGGCATGTGTTTTGCAACTTGCAAGTGCTGTGGCACCTCCAGATGGGGCTCTAAAGAAGGCCCAGGGAGCCCTGAACGTCCCACTGCCTGTTAGAAACAAAACCAGAGTCATGACAACGGAAAAGCCACAGGATTTTCTGCACTGTCCTACCATAACAAACGTTGCTTGGTGTGGCTGTCTGCTGTTAAACAGCTGCCACATCCCACTGCTGAGGAGGCTGCATGTCAATGATGGGCAAAATGATCCTTTCAGAAAAGTGTGGGATGAGAAGGGTAAGTTGTTTTAGGGGAGGTGGGCTCAAAGTTCAGGATGTAGGTTGGGCCGCTATAATACAAAACCTAGGTCAGTAATGGGGAGCTGGCATTCATTGGGGGTAACGGCTATAAAATAACAGCAAATACCTGGAGTGAAGGGTGGGTATTTAAAAATGAAAGGATGGACCCTTGACTCATCTGATCAGCTGCAAAAATCAAGGGAGCAGCTGTTTGAGTTACTAAGAAGGGCAAAGCCTTGTGGGTTGGGTGCTGACTTTCCAAACCCGGGCTGGGCTGACTTTGCGTCCCATCCGAGCCCCCAGCAAGCCTGGCGTGGCCTGGGGAAAAGGAAGATAAAAAGGTTTCTACATCAGGGTTCTGCTTGATGCCTGTTGGGCGCAGGCCTGGGGAGTATTCAATTTGCCTGATGAATGGAGGAAGGTTTTTGGCACCTCGTGTAGAGTCACCTATGGAATTCCATTGCCTGCATAGAGAAGTGACCAACCAGAACCTGTACCTCCTCAAGAGCACTGCCTCGGTATGATCCCACCGAAGGCCGCAGAGACTTGAAGGATCTGAAAGATCAGCTGGGAGGGGCAAATGGCTCTCTCCAAACAGTGCCAGAAACTCAGGGCACAGTTGCCAAGAGCCCACAAGCGGGAATGAACAGAGGCCGCCGCAAAGGCAAACAAGTCATCAAAAGCAGATGCAGACCAGACAGGAAAGGCTTCAGAGGTTACTACTATTGTTTACATAGCACTTGCATCAGGCCAGGTGCTTTACGAGGCTGTAAAAGACACTGGCCTTGCCCTGAGGAGCTTTATGATCTAAGCAGGAAGCAAACACATGCAAGGGCAAGGAAGGGAGGCAACACGATGCAGTGGGAACGAGCAATGAAGTGCCCTGCAGCTGCAATTGTGATTGTACGGGGGCGTTACAAGCGCTGTGGATTGGGGGTGGGGAATAGGAACTTGTTGGATTCTTTGAAGAATGACATCTCACTGAGGCAATGGCAAGCCAAGGGCTTCCCGGCCTAGGGAGTGGTTTGGAAGGGGTTGGCAAAGGAGATGGAAAGACAGGACGCTTGGGTGGAGCAATACGTCCACAATCAGAAACCAGCATCCACCAAGTGGCATGGATTGTCCCCCTTGCTAGCAGCCTCAGCCAAGGCTGGAATGAGCTATGGAGATGGAATCCCTCTCTCGCCTCTCCTCTCTTGCAGGGTGGGGTGGGGTGGGGATATTCACAGATAAAGGTGAATCCCCACAGCCTGGGCTGCAATCCACTTCCCTGGCGCAAATTGGCTGCGGATCCCAGCTCGCTGTTGACGTGATGCCCATAATCAGTTTGATCCCGCTTCCAGCTGAGGCAGCCAGAAGGTAGTTTACCTGTGATGCTAGGCTGGGTCCAGGCTGCGAGAGGATGAGGCTGCTCTGTTGCTGGGGAAAGGAGAGAATGTTTGGCTGCAGAGCTGATGAGAGAGGGAGAGAGAGATTTGATTAGACTGGCCTCTCCTTAAAAATCTAGACAACTCTGTATCACACAGCACTGTCTCCATAGATCTCCAAGGTAAACATCATCTTCTCCATTTTACAGATGGGGGAACTGCATAGCATCATAGGTGTGCATAGCTTTTTGGTACCTGTGCTTAGGTACTATGGGGATGGGAAACCTAGTACTGTTAGTAGATTTCTGTGCTTTGGTGCTGAAAGTCCCTGCATTCAAACCTCGAGGTATGTGTCGGGGGGTTGTTACATGAGCACACCAAGTTGAATCATTGCTAGATCTTGGTACTTTAACCTACCAGGCCCATCTCCCTCCTGTTAATTATTCTGACTCATCACATCACATCTAAAATCTGACCAAGCTCTGTTGCGATTATTGGGCCTAAATATTTACCCCTAACTGTAAGCTCAATTGTAAAAAGTTTACAAGGTGTCACAATAACTTATCATTTTTCGCCTGCTTGGGAATTAACCATGGAAAGTAGGTCAAGAAAGAATGTTTTGAACAGGTGCAAGGAAACCAGACACAGAGACCGAATTAGTCCAAACAGAAACAGATCTACTGATAAGATACAAGGTTGAGGTTGGACTTAATAAACAAGATGACGTGGGTCTGGAAATCAATGGATCAAACTTGGAGTGGCAGACACTAGGCCTAATAGGTGGATACAGTAACGAGGGGATGAATTATGCCTCCCACTTTTCCCCCTTTTTGGGGTTCTTCAAAGGAGACTTCGGAAATTTGTTTTCATCCCAACGCATCTTCACTTCCGAGCTCACATCTTGCCCTGGCGCATTTTAACTCATCTCATCTCCCCCAATCCCAACACAGAGGGAGTGGACCAGACAGACGGATTTTCTCCCCGAGAGGAAGACCATCAGGCCTTGCTCTTGTTCACGGAACCTTGTTTTTCACCTGAGAGTCCTGAAAGCCATTGTATCATCATGACACCCCGTCCTCAGCCAATCAGTGGGGATATCCAATTGCCAGTGCCACAGAGACATGTAAGATCCTGTTCTATCTCCCTTCCCTTTTGCGTTACTCTCTGCCCCACTATTTCTTTCCTCCTATTCTATCTAGGGTTGCTAATTTTGGCTAGATGGATTCCTGGAGGATTCATCACATGACATAATCTTTAATTTAAGATTAATCTTTAATTCCTGGGGGGCTGGCAACCCTAATCCTCTCTCTGACTTTCTCGGCGTTTCATTGAATCCTGAAATCAACTCCACTGCATCAGCACAGCGAGACAAGATGGCCACAACCCTGCTCTGTCTAAGGGGGAAGGACCCAACCAGATGATGTCCCTGACCGGAACGTGAACCAGGGTCCAAGCAACCGGTGTCCTGGTCAACCTGCCAGCCAAAGCATCTCCTAGTAATTGACAAGCTGTCCAGTGCTCCAAAAACTTCAACCAAAGCCGTAGTTTCCTCACCTTTTCTATCCTCTCTCTTCTCCACCTTGTGTCTGCCTGTCTCTACAAACAGGAGACGTGAATACCCTTCACACAACAGGAATGACAGCAAAATTAACCCTTTCTTTCTCATCCAAGGTCATTAATAAAAAATGGGAGACGCTGCCTCCCAAAGCAGAGCGACAAACATGTTTTGATTAAGTTTGTTTCACATAATGACTTAATTTCAGTGTCAGTATAAATGTTTGTTTTGATTTCTTGTGTTTGGTCAATAAACTTTCAAAAGAATCTTTTAGGAGGAAAGCTTTTGGGTGCTTGCCAAGAAACAGAGTAAACCTCTGTAGAAATTTCCCCGAACCTTTGTATCACTCTTGTAAATGTCGGACAGTGAAAGAGTTTCGGACACCTTTAACTCTTTTGACCCTTGAGATTAATACAATAGCTCCTTCGGACAGAGACCTGGTCCTTTTCCTTGACCATTAAAGCACCTGACTCATTTTGGGCTCTGCATAAATCATAATACTGTCTTGCAGAAATCAGATGATGAGGATAGCAGTACTTGGCTCTTTTACCATGCTTATTACCTCCATGGTGCTTTAACAACCTTAACTAATTCATAAGACAAAGCTCCGTGGCTTCCGGAACTGGAGGAGACTCACTGTATTGACTGTCTTCCTGGAATTTAAATCAGGTGCTTAACATTTAGATTTATAAAATGTACACCATAGAAAGAATAATCTGCTTGGCTCTGGTTGTGCATATCTCTAGGTTTATTCACTGGTCAAGGTTTATTCACTATTGTTGTAAAAGCAAAACACATCCCTTCCCCCCATAACCCCAGAAAAATAAAAGCTTATAATGAGGAGGGAAATTGTACCAGAGATGCAGACTTGTCAGGGATTGATTCAGAAATCACTGGGTGACATCCTCCAGCCTGTATTATGGAGGAGGTCCGAATAGATAATCATAATGGTCCCTTCTGGCCTTCAGTTGTATGAACCTATGAGTTCAACATATCAGAACCCAAGAAATCTTCCATACTTTTCTCACATTTATATTCAGCGCTGCTTTCTGGCACGATGCGTTTTCTATCGCACATGAGTGCGTTGGTACTGAGAGCAAACGGTTTAGTGGTAGATTATTCCAATCCTACCTGTTCAGGATAATTAGTTTAGTAGATTATTGTTACATGTACAGCAAGTGGTTTTTTGATATATTACTCAGTAGCACTTGGCAGAGATAACGGCTTAAGAGCCATCAGTGCTAGACAGATTGTCCACTCAGTCTAGACAAATTGAAATAATTTTCATCCAGAGTTTATACACTGTCGTACTCTAGGATCGTGTGTTTTAATGTATCTGTGGCCCAAATCCTGCAATCGGTCCATGCAAGGGGGCCTTTATGATCACTGAAGTCAAAAGTTACTCAGCATGGGTATGAGGCTCCATCTACGTAGATCAGATCGTAGCCTCGGGACCTACGTTTGTCCTTCCATGACCAACACTGGCCCAAGCCATGGGTAATGCACATCTATTTTTTAAAAGCTTACCTCTCAAAAGAATATACCGAAGTTAGACGCTAGAGCAGGTTCCCCATAAGGATGAGGCTCCTGGGTGTTTCCATGTCATCCTGCCTGAGACTAACCCAACCAGATGCAGTGCTGAATTTCAACGGAGAGAGGCATTTCTCTGAGGCATGCCTGAGATCAGTGCACACAGCCCCTTGGTGGCGCTACTGCTGCACAGAAGTGCCGCTGTGGGAGCATCTCCCCAGCTGCGTAGCCGAGAGAGGAGAATTCCATCACCGAGTGGTTTAGTTTGGTTGGAGCAGCTGCCTGGTGTCAGGGCTTTGGGGTGGCTTCAGGTACAACAGGGGAGGGAGCTGCCATGCAGGAGAGAGGGCGAAGGGGAAAGTTTTGGCAATACAGAGAGGCATGGTCAGTAACAACGGGAGCAAGACAGTGAACCAGTTTCCGCTCTTGGTCACCATGGCCTAGATCTGGAGAGACTCTCCTGACGTCAGTGGATCGATGCCACTGAGAGATCAGTGCCTGGCCCTGGATATCACCAGCCCATCTAGTCAGGGGTGGGTTGGTTCTTGAATCACTCCATGTACCTACCTGTGTCTCCACCTGTATCAAGGGCACTGCATTAATGATTCTAGTGAGCACTCTATGGCTATTACCTTGTTGCCCAGCCTGGGCCTGAGAGAGCAGGAACTGAGGAACTGATTGCATAGGACCGGGCACCAGTACAAGCTGCTGCAGGGTGTGAAGAGAACTCATATCCTAACGAAGAAACAATGCAGATCAGATGCATCTGCCCTGCACACAGTACTCACCCCTTTCCCCAATTCCCTCCCTGCTGTAAGTAGCACTTAACCCCCCCCCCCCCCGGCTACCCTCCCTGCCCCCATTTCTGCCTTCAACCACAATAGACTGCAACTCAGGTAACCTCACCCCCCCACACACACACCCACACCTGAGCGCCACAGAACTAGAGCTGCTCCCATATTTTTCACCCAAACCTTTTCCAACACTGGCTTTTTGCTTAAATGGATTTTTTCCTTTTTTTTGTCAAAAAAGCAAACTCCCAAACTGTCAATTTCTCCCTTTTTTGTCTATTGACATTTTTCAGTTTAAAAGTGAAACATTTTGGTTTTCAGTTGCCAAAAAAAAAAATCAAACAACAATTTAAAAAAAATCACTGGGGAAGGGGGAACGTTTCAGGTTTTTGACAACAACTCAGAAAATGTCAGAAAAAAATTAAATAAAAATCAAATAAAACAAACAAAAAGTTCAATTTTGCATGGAAACCAAATCCTCATTTCCCGACTGGCTCTCTAGAGAATCTGGGAAGGAGCGAGGCCCAGGGCTGTGTTAAGTACGTCCACCTGATCCTAAGAGGTGTTCTTGCTTGATGCTGCCTGGGCAGGTGAGAACTCCCAGCCCCGCACTCAGGGCTCTGACTGAGGAAAGAGGAGGCAAAAATCTTTGTAGTTCCTACAAACTCCTCAGTCACTGTATAATTTCCTGATTATACCACCATGGGTCCCAGCTCTGACTCCTTGTGTGACTTTACAGACAGGAGGCTGGACTTGGGGTGGAATTCACAAGGTCTATTCACCAGCTAAGCCCATAAGGGTCAGATAACCAAGCCCTTGGCACCCACAGTTGGGGTCAGAATTTCAAAGGAGCTCAGCCGCCAACGAGCACCCAGTGTGATGAGGTCTAAAATCTGGCCCCTGTTTTGAAGTATTGTGGGACCATAAGCGGTGCCTACCCCTTGGGCAAGGGCTCTGCTCAGGGGTGAATTTCACCCTTTCATCTTAGGTGCAAACAAAAGGGAAGAGATTTTAAAAGGCACAAATAGCATTTGGGCATCTAACTCCCATTGGAAGTTAATGGGAGTTAGGCGCCTAACTGCTATTTGGGCCTTCGAAAAATCTCCCCCAAGGAACACATTTTGTCTCTGGTGTAATCGACCAAAGTCAGTTGAGTGACCCTAGGGATGAACCTGGCCTTCGCAAAGCAAATTGAATCAGGATTCACAGTGTCTGACTCTGGAAGCCTTCTCCATTGCCATACGAGCACCTCTTTAAAGTGGCTTTCAAGCAATGAGTGCTCCAGAACCAGCGCCCCAAAGGACTCCTGGAGTTCTTGGGGCTGCTAAGCCACTTACCCCGGCGATTTGGCTTCCAGGCATCATTGATGATCCTTGTCCTAGGTGGCCTGATCTGGGCTGTACCGGAGATTGCAAGGAATCACTGAGGTCTTCTGTTTTAATCTGCAGGGGAGAGGAGACCAGTTGTATCAGCAGGAAGCATGCACAGATGATGTGGAGTCAGAGGAAGGTGGAAGATTCAGGAAGTTAGCAAGCTTGGAGTTTGGGGCACCTGGGGAAGATCCTCTCTATTGTACCTGTGCTCGGCATCACACCAACAGGGAAGTCTAGTAATGAGAGTCAGGACTCCTGGGTTCCATCCCTGGCTCTGCAGCAACGTCTGTGCATTTGGACAAGTCACTTACCCACTCTGCTTCAGTGTCCCCACCTGCAAAGTGGGCATAAGTCTACCGACCCACTTCGCCAAGGGGAGGGGTGGGCTGTCCTTAATTAAAAGCCCTCTAATTAAAGCATTTAAGTCTCGCTGACTTCACTTAAGCATGTGCTTGACTCGAAGCAGCATTGGTCTGCTGAACCAAGGCCCTGAAACATTTTGTGGCTCTTGGAAGAAAAGCACCAGGAAGCAAAGACTTATAACCACAGGTAATGCATAGAAATTGGTGGGGTGGCTAAGTCACTAATCCCCTTTCTCGGGGCTGCTTCAGCTGCACTCCACTGCATTTCTGGCTACAGGGCATCTCCCTGCAGAGGTGGCCATGAGGGTGCAGGGAACAGAGAAGAGAAGAACAGGTGGTGGTACGATTAAAGCACATGAAAACCAGCACCATTTAGGAGTGGCTGCCAGCTTTGAAAGTTCACCAGTCCCGGCACTAAATCTACTTGCCCACACTTCACCACTGGTGATAATGGGCGAACAAATGCTATTTGACTTGCCTAGCAAAGGAAAACAGTTATTGGCCAGCATTTTGCACACCGTATTGGAGTCAGCCCCGGAACCACTTGCCCTACTTTGAAGTCCAGGCAAGACTCAAATCCAGATTTCTAAGACAGGAAAAATTCACCAGGGATCAGAACTGGAGCTTTGAGTTTGTTCCATTCTTTGGTCTCCAAGTTACTTTTTATTCTTTCTGCTCCAAAACAAGGCAAAACCCATTGTTGCTTGTTGCATTGGGTGTAATTTGTCACTGGGACCTGGCGCCCCCGTGGGATGGACAATAGGATTTTGGAGAACAAAGGAATGCTCACACATAACCGTGGCAGGCTGAGTGGAATAGGTGCAACATCAGGTTAGGGTCTTGCTCATCCTCAACTGGGAGCACTGTATCCTGCATTTGTAGGGAGCAGAGAGAACTTTTTGGCCTCATTGAATAGGTCTTTTCTTGAAATGGATCCAAGTGGCAAAATTCTGATCCAAAGCCAAACCTTCCCCAAGTTTGAGGGTGCTTGGATCTGGGGTTCTAGTTTGGGTCCTTTCAAGTGACTGTCCTGATCCAGGTCTAGTTTTTCCCTAATGCCATGAAAACCCTGTGCTTTGGCTCGGGGTTGTGGACTCTCTCTTAGAATCTGGGATGGATCTTGCTACCAGCGGTAGTTAATGACACAATCCAAGATCACGGAAAAAACAAAACTTTTTCATTCGCCGGTATCCTGAGATGCTAGTGCAGAGAGTGAGTAATATAGCCTCCTACCAGCAGAGAGAGACAAGCAATGTAGGTTTTCCCACAAACAATGAGCAAAGCATGCATTTTTCAGTCGAGATGGGCTTTTGTTACAGATTGAGGAAAAACAACTAAGAAAGAACAAATATAAGAGTCTCCATGAGGGAGAGAGAGAGAGAAAACACAATCTCTCTCGCGCTCACTCTGAACTGAAGCACAGAAAGGAAGCTGCCCCCGTAAAGATTAATTTACACATTTAAAGGTGTAGTACACAAAAAACAGAATGACGACATCTCTTTTCGATAACATGCTGTAGCTAAATACACTGCATAAAGCTTACTGCGCAATATTAACCCCTTCCAAAGACAGCTGAGAATTCTAGTTCTTCCCCACCTCTCAGGAGGGAGTGATCTTCTACTAGACAGATGGTAAAAACTTTTGATCACTACCAATCTGGGCAGTGTTTGATTTGGTGACCATTAAATGAAAGGCCCTATGGAATACATCATTTCCTCTCCTCTGAGCCCGTCACTCCACTTCAACCCTTTCACCCTCTCCAAGTTCTTTCCCTCCTGAAGATAGATTTACCAGAAACAACCACATTTAAAAAAAAAATTACCCCTACTTGCAATCGTTACAATTAAAGATCCAGCAAATTGGCAAGTGATTCATGTGTCTGTTGCTCACGTGACTCAGGATTCCGAATCCAAACAGCCACCGAGAGAAAAGTGACCATGCCCACACAAAGACCGAGGTGCTTTCTCCTGCCTGATCCTGATCGGAGCTGAGCGTTCAAGAACCACAAGCCATTTCCAAACTGAAATCAATTTTTACAGCTGCCAAACGGAATGATTTGGAAGCGTTCCAGGAAGAAAAGGGTGTGTAGCCGCATCCCAACATCACATAACATGAGATCAAGAGATGGGTTTGGCAAAAAAAAAAAAAAAAAAACAACCAACAACAACTGGTTCCCAATTTAGAAAACAACATCACCAACAGCTTGTCCCCCACTTCCTGGAATTTGCCAGCTTTCTCCAGAGAAGATGGGAGGGACCCTGGGTGTAATTAACCAACTCTTCTCCATTGCACCTTATTTTGTTAGTGTTAGACTCAAATTTACTCCATCCCTCCCCTGCATACCGGCTGCTTCCTATCTGTTTACTACTGTATCTTTGGGATGTATCCAAATCACAAAGTTTGGGGTGTTTATGCAGATCCTTCCAACTTTGGTTCATCCAGAGAAAGCTTTACAGGATTTCCAATCCCAAGCATTCAAGAACTGCGAGTCAGGCTGCTATCACAGATTTTTTAAAATAATATTCCCCCCCCTTTCTGGTTTCTGAGTGCACCTAGGTCATGTTTTCAAGCCTTTTCACCAGACCAAGAGGGTCAGAATTTTACCTTTTTTAAAAAAAAGCAGAGATTCTCACATAATCACCTGACTCCAGAAGCTAGGACTTTCTGAAAAATCAGCAACTATAAGGAGACCCGTGATAAAAGTCAGTGTCTCAGCTCTTGTGATTTTAAGCCAGAGAGCAAAATGAAGGTCAGATTGTGCTGAGTTTCTCTGGGGTCTTTGTATGGAGGTCAAGGTAGACTGGGACAAGTGAACAGAAAGGTGGCAGGGAGACAGTAGGTTTCCTCCTCTCCTATGTAAAATTCAGGGAAATGATGCAATCTGCCTCGGTAAAAATGCAATTGCAGATTGCACAGCAAACTATTAGGAATATACTCACTGTGCCCCGACCCAGGGAGAGACCCCTGCAGGAGGATGGAACAAAATGATGTGCCACAAACAACAAATATTATTGATATATAGATCATGCACACTGGGAGGAGGGACTAGAACTCTAGACCTTCATCTCCAAAACCACAGGTATCTACCAATTGAGCTAAAGGGGATCTCCTAAAGCTAGTAAAATAGTAGGGCAATTATCCTCTTGGTGATCCACTGGAGGATGACATAAATACACCACATGAAGCTACTGCATTAAAGGATTACTGGGGTGCAGGAAAGGAATTGCTCCTGCAAATCTAATCTAGATGTTCTCCCTATCTTTACATAGTTTGTTTTTTACTTGGGGTCAGAGGCCCCAAAACAAATGGAGAGCAAGCTGGTGTAAAGGAAGTCCCTTCCCTCATTGGCTGGTTGGTCCCTTCACTAGTTAGCTGGTGGGTCTGCTCACTCTGACAGCCAATTGATGGGTTTCTTACCCAATCCTGGTGGAAAAAAAACCCCATAAACAAAACAAAAAACAAATTGTGGGTGATGGAAAATGATCAAAGCTGTTCGACTCACTTGCGTAATCCATTGGTGGAAGATATTACATAAACATTTCACAAGACAGAATTATGGCGAGAACATCTCCCAACCTGCCTGCAATTACTGCACAAACTCTTCCTTACCAGTAGAGAGAAGGTTAAACAAAAAAAAAAAGAAAAAGAGAGCACATCTGTTTTGTAACAGATCTATAAACATTTGGCAAAGGCTCACCTCATGAAAACATCCTGGAGACATCCTGCAAGCTGTGAAAGTCCAAGCTCACGCAAGGCGGTTAGAAAAAAGCATGCTAGCAGCTCAGATGTTACAGTGATGAAGGCCATGTCAGTAATAGGTAGATGGATAAATAGCTAGGCAGGCAGACCGGCCCCACATTTGGTCTTATCAACTGCATGTTACATTTCCATAGAGTGAACTCAACACCCACTGTCCGCCTTCTTGTAAAAGAAAGTCATCTCCTCTTCCTCAACATTTCTGATGCAACGTGATTGTCCTCCCATCCCCCTCTTGGCAATGTGGGTTTATATTTACCAATAGCGAGGAACCCTTTAAGGGGTGGGTTTGACAGAGCACCCTCCCAAATCTGGATGCTTCTTCTAACCACCCAGACTAGAGTTTCACCCTAGACTGCATGTGTGTAGCCAATCACACCGCATATTACACATACACTACACATTAGGCAAAATGGTACTCAGGTAGCTGAGAATGCTTTGGGAGGATCCACCTCAGGGTGCTGTGAGTGATCATACATTTATTATGTAGCTTAAATTTAGACTGTAAGCTCTCTGAGACACAGACCTCTTCTAGTTATCTAGCCCACAATGCTGTTGCATCTCAGCAACTCACAATCATTAATAAATTTATCCTCACAACACCCCAGTTGAGGTAAAGTTGCGTTATTATTCCCATTTAACAGATGGTGAACTGAGGCACAAAGAACTGAAGGGGCAGATTTTAATTCCCTCACTCACACGGAGTAGTACCTCCCTCCACAGATGGTCTCACTGAAATCACTCACAGAGTAAAGTGCTACTAAACCCGAGTAAGGGTGTGAGAACCTGACCTTGAGTGAGTTGGCTATGGTCACGCAGGGAGTTTGTGACAGAGATAGGAATCAAACACACAATGCCCCGGGTGCTGCTTTAACCACAAGATCACCCTTCATGCCTTGCCTGTTATGTGTTTGTCTGTGAAGTACCTAGCACCTTTATGGGCACTATGAA